AATGGAGGAACGAGACTCTTTTTATATGTATGTGTTGATTTTGGAAATGTTATATATTATTTGCATTATGCGTTAGGACAGGATAGATTAGTTTTAAGGTCAAGTGAGGTCATTACATTTTATATATATTTTAGCAGGTTGTAGTAAGACTTTTTTTGCCGAGGTCATGCTGAAATTTTTTTATTTATTTTTTGGTACTGTTGACTGGTATCTTTTAAGGTTGTTACATGCCAAGCTAGAGGACCTGAAGGCAGATGTCCAAGATCCCTTGTTGGAGATCAATTTGGGATCAAAAAAAGAACCTCGACCAAACTACATAAGTGACCTTCTAGAACCTGACTATAATGCTGAGCTGATCTTGTTGCTCAAAGAATATAAAGATTGTTTTGCTTGGAATTACACCGAGATACCAGGATTACCAAGGTAACTTGTCGAGCATCGACTGCCTATAAAAGAAGGTTTTAGACCTTTTAAGCAAGCGCCTACACGTATATCAATAGAAGTAACCATGAAGGTAAAGGAAGAGATTGAAAGGTTGCTCATGGTAGGATTCATCCGAACCACGAGGTATTGAGATTGGCTATCCAATATTGTTCCTATGGTGAAAAAGAATGGGAAGATAAGGGGATGCGTATATTTTGGGAATTTAAATTCCACTACCCCAAAAAATGAGTATCCAATGCCCATAGCCAATCAATTGATTGATGCAGCCGCCGAGAATGAAATTATGTCATTCATGGATGGTCACTTATGATATAATCAGATATTCATAATAGAAGATGATGTTAACAAGACGGAATTTAGATGTCTAGGATCCATAGGCACTTTCGAATGGGTAGTAATGCCCTTTGGTTTAAAGAATGTCGGGGCCACCTATCAACGAGCTATGAATGCAATCTTTCATGACATGATTGGGAAATTTATGGAAGTGTACATTGATGACGTGGTGGTGAAATCAACAACAATGACAATGCATATGACAGACTTGAGGAGATTATTCGAGAGAATGAAAGCTCGTGGCTTGAAGATGAACCCACTTAAATGTGCTTTTGGACTGACAGCAGGGGCATATATATATATACATATGTATATATATATATATATATGTGTGTGTGTGTGTGTGTATATGTATGTATATACAATATATAAACATTGCCTATAACATCACCCACCAACTGTCAAGCATACCATCTTTAGTCAATGGCTCAAGCATCGATGTCTTATCTTGACGGCTGGGTTAGGAGCTCAATGTGCCTTTACTTGCTATTTCACTGGTGTACTTGGCACTTGGTTATTATAAACAATTGGAGCATAGCTATTTTTATTAAGAAGTCAACTGATTGCCACCTTACTGACATACCACTTTCTATAGGCAATATATCAAAGCCTATAGCTTCAAAGCCCAATGATGCTCAGCTTGGATCTCCATGTGACTACATATTTAGCTGTGAATCACCACTTCAACTACCTCAATCTATCACCTCACCATCATGAACTTATTTTAATGAGTTATAAACTCAGTTTTTATAATCCTCCAAACTAACTTCATAGCATATAGAAAACATTTAACTCCAGAAAGATTACTTATCTTTCTTTTTTAATTCTCGGTTCATCTCGGAGCTTCTTGGTTCACATACTTGTTTGTGAAAACTGAAGGCCCAACAATCTTTAAGGTGGATGCAAACGAACCCATCATTAGAGAAACTACTCCTTTGATCTTGAATAACCCTTGGTCTGTTGTTTCCTTGTTTTTTCTATCACCCGAGAAATCCAAAAAGCTAAACCACGAACAGAGAGTGCCACCACCATGAGAATAAGAATGTCAAAAATGACGACTACTGGTATGTGTATCTCTTTTTGGTCACTTACAGATATATGTGTATATACAAAAATATATCTATATATACAACTATGAGTATACACATATATATTTAATTTATATTTTATAACATTGGCTAAAGCATATTCCAATTCCTGCCATGCACACCATCCCTTAATTAATGGGTACCAACCAATGACATCTTGATGTTTTATCTTAACAGCTAGGTCGGGTGCTCGGCTTTGGCTTGACTTGGACACATGACCATTATAATAAAATTAGTGTGTTTATTCTCATTTGTAAGCTTTCTTACTAACATGTCCTTTATCTGATTAATAGTTATTACTTGATTGCCTGCTTACCATCACGAATCACCAAGAGGTGCGTAGAGCTCACTCTTGAAACACCTATTCCTAACGAGACTTCATTGCAAAGTGGAAAGCTCTACTTCAGAATTGTGGCTTCTCACCACTTTTGGCATTTTTCAGTAGTGAGGTCAAAACTTAGCTCCTTATTCATCCTTCTTGCTAGTTCTTCTTCCATTTTGCTCAATCCAGTGTAGTAAATGGGTGTCACAAAAAATGTGACAGTTGCTGTAGAGAATACGTCGTCTCTAGTAGTAACAAAGCTTCCAATCACACTGGGGTCGTTCATAAGCTTATTAAAGAGGTTATCGATACAGATATTTATGGCACTGGCGATATGTTGGCCAGTAACCTAGGCTCTGACTCTTCTCCTACATTCGGCCTTGCTTTAGCTTTCAAAGATGGTCCACCAACTTCATTTCTCCCCTACTCTCCTTTAGCTGAGGAGCCACTCCCATTCCAATGCAAGTTTTCCAATCCCATGGACTTCTTCAACCTCTTCAAAAATTGCCTGAACCCTCAGAGTGACTGGACTGATTGGTTCGATCGGGTTAAACCTTACTGCAAAGTACTATGGAAAGAGGTCAGAATTTATGATGCCATCCTTCTTTTAAAAAACCAAATCTCTATAAATAAGGAGGCTCTTGCCTCATTGCTCTTTTTCTGGTCAAGCTTTACCAATGCCTTTTATCTTCAGTGTGGTATGATTGGTCCAACGGTACAAGATATTTGTTTTCTTACCGGGCTTAGGCCTCATGGTATAGAAATAAATTCACTTCTTACTGTTCCTCAAGTAATCTATGAATATCCAAAGAAACCTGAGGCTTCTGAGCGTATCACAACACATGGCCCTTTTATTAAAGCTAGCAAGCGTAATGGAGATTCGGTTTCTACCGCTGAGCATTTCTCTTTCTTGGTGTACTAGTTGAATAGGTTTCTATTTTGTGTCTTTTCTCTCACAGTCACCAAAGACTTTACTCAAGACTTTACTCAATTGGCACTTATCCTTCATTCAGATGAGAAACTTGTCATTGCTCCTTTCTTGCTTTCTTATCTCTATCGTGGTATCGGGAAGTATGTAACTTCCAATATTAAAACTTGCTCTGGCCCATTTTGGCTGTTACAACTTTGGGAGTACGCCTATTTCCCCAAACTTTATCCCGCTTTCGATTTGTCGACCACTGTTCCTGTCCCTAGATATCGTTATGCATGTCTTCAGCCAAAAAAAAGATCATTCAAGACTATGTTCTCCTTTTATAAACTTCTTGCATACCAAGCCCCTAATCTTTTCTTACCATTCTCGCCTCGACCGAGGCAACCTTGTGACTTTCCTATCCTTCTGACCAGGCTCCTCCAGGTTGCCAAGAGGAACATGAACAAGCATGGGCTAGCTTCTTGATTGCTAGGGACATCTCTTATGGATGTTCAAAACTAGGTTATCAAAATAGCAAGTATGGAGTTGAGTACTACAATCCCCTATAATTTGCCAAGAAATTTGGTCTCACCCAACTCGTTCCACTTCCGCCTTTCCGATCTTTCAATAATTCTTTCTTGGAATGAGTAGTCTTCATTTAAGAAAAAACAGTGAAGAGAGTATTCACTTGGTTTATCCGTCTCTGTGATAAATTCTCTTTGCAACCATTCCCGGAAAATCCTAATACTTCTCTATCCTTTGACTACTGGTGGGGGAACCATATTGCGGAACTTATGGTAGAGGATTCACGTACCATAGTAGATAGGATTGCCTCCATTTTTATCAAGCCCCAAGGAGCCTCGACCTACCCAAAACCATCAAAAGGAATCAATGTGGCTAATCCTGGTTCTCCTAGTAAGACGAAAAAATCAAAATCGTCCAAAGAAGGTACATATTCATACCTACATATATATAAATGTCAAGTTTATACCTTAGATCATAAAGACATGTTTTCCTTTATGCAGTTGTTGCCTTCCATGATTCATTAGGTGTTTCTGATCATGAGGTGCACTACAAGAAAATAGGTCATTTACGAGTGTCTGGACCTCTAGTGAAAACTTTTTCACAGGACTTCTGAGCCCCTCGTCTATTATGGTCCTGTAAATACTCCCCACTTGCTACGAGAAATAATAACACTCATAAAAGATCAAAGCACGACGATTCTTGCTTCCCGTAAATAAAACTCTCACTAGAGATTTATAGTCTCTCGTTAATAATTAATTTATGAGAAAAAAGGTCTTTTACGAGTGTGTGGACCTCCCGTGAAAACTTTTTCACGGGACTTTTGAGCCTTCGTCTATTATGGTCCTGTAAATACTCTCCATTTGCTACGGGAAATAATAACTCTCGTAAAAGATTAAAGCACGACGATTCTAGCGTCTTGAAAATAAAACTCTCATGAGATTTCTAGCCTTTCGTTAATAATTAATTTACGAGATAAATGAAATGTCGTTATTAATTAATTAACGAGTTGTTTATCTACTCATGAATAATTAATTTACAAGAACGATGACATCTCCTTAATACTTAATTAACGAGTTCTTTATCCACTCGTTAATAATTAATTAATGTGGTACATTGCCTCTTGTTAGTAATTAATTAATGTGGTATATAGCCTCTCGTTAGTAATTAATGTACGACACATTTGACCTCTTGCCAATACATCTATATATTTTATTTACGAGGTCTAAAGTCACCTGTAGATAACTATATATATATATAAAATAAATTAATGCACTCTACTACCTAATCATTCACATATATAACCTGGCCACAGTTTCAACTAAATAATTATATAAAATGCTAAAAATTTACACTTAATACCAATACAAAAAACAATCCATGTTTAAATTCACTATTAAATATATATCAAAAGAGTAAGACATTAATTTACAATTCATCATTAATTATTCAACGTGCCAAAATTAAAAAGAAAATTCAATATTTCCCAAAAATAGACATCAATCTTCACATTGTTCATTAATTCCTACCGCAAGTTGACCTCCAATTTTTCACACTTCCTCCACTTCGTTGTCCATTGTACAAAATCCAAGCAAGTACCTGCATCACAAAAGTCCTAATTTTAGTATAATAATAATGTATATGAAGTAATGACAAAATGCTAGTTTTCTATTTCATACTCTCTAAAATATTTACCAAGGTGTGATAAAAAATGGAGTCCCACACTTTGAGAAGCCAAAAGCAATCAAAAAACCCCAAAAAGAAATATGCAATCCACATGCCCATGCTTTGCCAGGGATGCTCTTTTAAATCTCTAAGGCACATTGATAGTTTGACATCAAAGAAAAAATAACAACTTTAACATGGAACAAATATAATTAATAGTTATAAAACAACAACAAAGCTAAGTTCATGCTAATAATTAGTTCAAGAGGATATATTAGAGAACTCATTGGCTTCAACATAATATACTACAAGAAAAAACATATTGGAGAAATTATTAGAATCATATCAACAAGTGAAAATAGAGAGAGATTTCACAAACACACATATATATACACACTGGAATTTCTGTGTGAACATCATTGCATACATGGAAGAATTTTTGCTACACTAGCTTCAATTCATTTAGCTGTGATTTTAGTGATTGTTTTCATCTTTTGATCTGTTTGTGTTGACTTGTTTGGTTGAAGAGAAAATTTGATCGAAAAAAAGAAATTTGTGTGAAAATATAGCAGTGAAACTGGTTTTATCCTCATACAATTAGAGAGAGATTCCACACACATATGTATCTACACTAAAATTGCTGTGTGAATTTACGTCATTAAATATATATAGGATGGGTTTGGTAATATTACCTTCAATTCTTTTTCAGATCGATCATTCATGCGATACTAAATTAGGTTCGACATCTTAAAGTTGGTCCTACTGAATCTATTGGGAAGGGCCATTTGGGTTGATAATTTGCATATAAAGAGGGCTTGCTCTGCAAAACTGTGAAGTTGTGGAGCAGTTTCTAGTTCCCTTGAGGGAGCATGGCGATCCAAAATTGAGGCCATTGCTTTGCATTGGGGGTTGATATGAGATTGTAGTTGGAGGTCATGAAGAAGTATGTGCATTTCGTTGTTGCTACCCCTAGGAGGTTGAAGGATATGCTTGCAAAAAAGAAGACGAGTCTTGATAATTACAGGTGAGCACTGTCTACATTGAATGGTCTTTATTTTATCTTGCAGTTATATTAAATATGAGGTGACACGCCAATCTGTTTAAAGAATTTACGTTTATTTTATTTCAAACCAAGTCTGGAGCCATCTTTGCTTTCCTAATATTTTGTGTTCAACTTATTGAATGGCACTATGGCTAACGTTTGTTGTTCCATTCTAGATGTTTTCATGGGGTCTCAGGTAATGAAAAAATTGTTTATTCGTACTAGAATCATTAATCTTAGGCTATTAGCTTTTAAGATCTAGTTATAAGTTTGTTTTTAATTTAGTTTCTTAATCGAAAGGGAAAGAGAATACCAACAGTGTCTTAATCGAAAAGGAAAACAATACAGAACTGGTCGAATGGGGCTGAAGAAGTTTTTTTCTACTGCACCAGAGATGGAAATTCAGAACTGGTGGTGGGGAGGTGGAAGGGGGGTTGGAAATCTGCTTACCACTTCTTGTTTTATTGGGTTTGACTTTTTGAAAATTTTACTTGAATCTTCTTCAAAATGGGTTCGTTAAGTTGTTTTTGAAAATCCAACTTAAATCTTCCTCAGAAAATTTCTTATTAACATAGCTCATTTTTGACTTGTTGGAACTTTGACTTCTGTTGCTAGCAAATCTTTTAAGCATGCTAACTTGTCAACCTAGTGTTCTAGTATTGTAGAAGGAGAGAGCATTTATTTTATTGATTTATTTATTAATTATCAGTAGAGATTGAAATAAATTTATCACGAGAATCTGTAGTAGAATTGCTAATGTTAGTTGTCAATCCTCTAATACCCTTTTGGAGTTTACTTGTACTAAATTTGTTGGGACTTGAGACTAAACATAATTTTATTATGGAGGAGAGGTTAAATTATCCTTTAATTTTTAGCTTTCTTACATATTTTCTTGTCAAGGTTTTCTTTGTGTTGTCTTTTGTTTGTACTTACAAGAGACTCTTGCCTTTATTATTGTAGAAGATAGGATAACCTCTCTATATAAGGAGAATTATATACTTCATTAACTCTTTTTATACTATGAAGCCTAAAATCAACCTTTGCAATAAACGGGGCATCTGTTGAAAAACTTGAAATGGGGCTAAAGAAGTTGCTATCTGCTGCACCAGAGATAGAAATTAAGTACTGTTCTAGATTTCTATGTCTAAAATCTTCTTTAATTCATTAGAATTCATTATAAAAATCTATGGATTTATTTGAAAAACAAAGGGAAGGGATAGGGGTTATCCCATCAAAAGAAAGGAAGAGAAGGCCATAATCCTCCCTTTGTTTTGGAGTTTAGACAGAAAAGGAAAGAATAAAAACAAATAATCACTATTTTCATTTTTCATCTTCAGTTTGATTTGTTTGTTTAGCTCAATTGAGAACAACCATGACTCATTTTTGTTAATAAATATAGTTATCCCATATTTAAGTTTGGGAAATTTCAATATAGAGACGACGTGACCTCTGTCTGGCTTGTCAATTCTTTTAGGTTCCCTAACTTCCTTATCCATCCAATGCAATTTAAATTTCATCTAGCAATATATGAATTGGGCATTTACTTTTGTGATTGTTTACATGATATTTTGTTTTCATAGATGAATACAAAAAACACACACTTCTATTTGCATGATATCAAATTGGTTTTTTTCTAATATGTGTTGCAAAGATAATAGCTTAAGATGCATAGATGGTTTTTTGATAGCATGATGTTGTAAATGTGATAGATACTCCAAAAAACTTAAGGGAGTTGGTTAAACTTCTAAATTTAAATTATGTCTTTAGAAATGTCAATAATGCTGTAAAACAACTTAATTGCAGGATGAAATGAAAAAGAAGGTTGCACAAGTTTCCCAAAATTCTTATGGTATCAGTTCAACCATAAATGATGTTGAGATAGTACAAAAACCAACTAAGTATTAGGAAGGGATATCTCTGTGGGCTCAAAAATGGTTTTGTAGTTCAAAGCCGTCAACGTGCATCCTAATCTTATGAAGAGGCTTCAAGGAAAAGGGTGGAGATTGCTGAGGAAAGAAATGTGCAACTGATGGAGAAAGTAACAAATTTGGAGGAAAAGTTTGATTTTTTGTTATTTTTAAGTCAAATGTTATTATTACTTCTTTTTTTCATTTTTTTGTTATTAAACCATGTGGGGGAAGTAATTTTCTATTCATCTCAGAGGAGCATATGTACAAGAAACACAAGTCCTCTAGGCTTTGGAGCTTAAACTCCGGGAGGGATTTGACCTAGAGGAGGTTGTTGGATCATATTGGGGTCTAGATAACCAAGATTCACATTATGGTATTCCATTGGAGTGATGTGATGATCAAAATTGGAATGAGAGGAATGCTAAGAAACTTTCTACCTCACGTACACAACAACAACCAACAACAATTTCATAACAATCAACAACAAATAACAATCAACCACAACCTCCACATACGATGTTCCCATACTCCCATGTTATATCAATGCAATAAAGTAATGGCCATAACAAGGACCCATGCTTTCAACATTAAAGTAATAGCCACGACAAGGACCCATGACTTCACATAGAGATAATTGATAAATGAACTTCATTAGCTAGTAGAATTCAGAACATACTTGCCAGAGATTAAGATTGAGAACCAGAACTATGCTCTTAATCTTACTTCAAAAGTAATAGTTTTGTTATGCTCCTAATAAGCTGGTTAAAATTGATCCTATGAGGAAAAAAATTAAAAATGTAATGCCAACATATATAAAAAATAAAAGAAAATAAAATCAGATCATATGTTAATTACTACTTTTCAAAAAAAAAAAAATGAATGACCAATTGACTTCTAAAACTTTCACATATTTGGTAGGCCATAAAACCATGCTTGTGCGAGCATCATGAAGATAAAAAATTCCAGATTGGTTTGCTCAATACAAAGGACAATCCTTTAAAGCTTAAATTAACCAAACCAGTTCCAGAAATTCTTTAAAAACAATGATTCCACCCTCCCCCTTCTTACTCAATTTCAAATCTTAAGATTTAGACCTCAGCAGTGACCCACTAAGTATGTAAGCACTAATGCCACTTCACAATAGCAGTCTCTTTAACTAGGCAAAAGGATTGGTTTCTCTCCCCTGCTTCCTGAACGCTCCCCGTCAACCAAAAAAAAAAAAAAAAAAACACACACATGTCCAGACAAAATAGCCTATTAACCACTCTCAGAGGAAAAAACACAAAGAAATAATAGATAAAAGTAAATTACAAAAATACATTTAACATAGACATGTTCTATTAAAGACTATTCTATTCATATCAGGTAGATGTGCCATGTCATTACTGTCATTATTTATAACATTTAAGACTATGCTGTCTCCTGATATAGCTACCCTCTTTCAGGACTCCAGCTTAAACTTTCTCGAGAACCCTGTTACTATATTTTAGTGAACCAAATTGAAACTGTGCAGCACATTGATTTTGAATTTTGTTTTACCAAAGATGGACAATATCAAATCATATCAAAGAAAAGGAAAGATGATTTGGGAATAAAGGAGGAAATATGAATATTTTTCAAATGATTATAACAAACACACACGTAGTATCTCAAGCCATGATTACACAAAGAAATAGCTCACGTAATAGACACACACACTAGTCATCAAACATGTGCACCACTCTTAGAAAACGAAAGAGAAATAGAGGAACAATTATAAAAATGAAATCCAAAAATAAATTTAATAAGGACATGTTCAATCAAGGAAAGTATTCTCTATTCATGATAGTGAAATGTGACATATCATTCCAATATTATCTGTAGGACTATAACAAGTAACACTATGTTGTCTCCTCATATAGCTACCCCCTGTCTAGGCTCCAGCTACAACTTTCATGACAATCCTGTTACTATGTTTTAGCGGACCAATTTTATATCAAATTAGAACTGTGCAACAAATTGCTTTCGAATATGAATAACGTCAAGAAATATTTAGACCAACGATAGACATAAACAAATCCTGTGGGATAAAAAGAATGTTGAGAGTTCTTCACAAATTTAAAACATCCAACTAGCACAAATTATCTCAAGCCATGGTTATGTATCTAAAGGTATGCGTATATGGAGTGATTGGACATCCCATGGATATTGAATCTATCTATAGTGTTTCACATAGGATTTGAAACAAGTTGACTGAGATTTTCTAGTAGCATTTTACTTAAGTGAGTCTACATGTTTTCAAAGTTGTTAAAATGTGTGTGTGTGTGTGTGTGTGTATATATTTCCGTCAAGAAAACTCCGAGTAACACAACTAATTTGTGTTTTCAAATGTTACACAAAAGAGAATGCCCTATGGATAAATGAATGTAGAGAAGGGAAGAAATAAATCAAGAACATGGTTCCCAAGAAAGTAGGTCATCCTTCGGCTCACAAGAGGAGCAGTTCCATAAGTAATTAAGTATCTAACTAGCATATAAATGAAATCTTTAGAGTGACGTACCTTCCTCAGGCACAACTTCTTGGTTTTGTTCAAGTAATGCCATTACTCTTCTTAGTGGCTGCATGGCAGCCTTTTTGTACACTAACCGAATATCTGAACCTGAATAACCTTCTGTCCTTTCAACCAATATATCATATGGAAGTTCCTCCTCACCTGGTGTAGATGGCAATAGTTCATCAAACATTGCTCTTCTTGCTTTTGGTTCTGGGAGAGGTACAAGGATCTTATATCATGGTTAAAAGAACTGTTCAATATGTAATATTCAATATTTAATGTAAGCTGAAATGTTGTGCAATTTTCTCATCCATAGAATGTAATACCATTATTGAACTAAAACTTCAGTAATTAAAATTGTGAGAAAGGAGTAAAAATGTGCTTAGGAAAAGAAAAAAAAAAAAAAAAAAAAGAGTAAAAATGTAGGGAACACCACCAACCCTTACATATTTTGTGCCATGAGTAAGTGAAGCGTCTACGTATTAACGAGTAATTATAACATGGTCCCAAGACCATTGGTCCCGACCAATCACGTGTTAACTCGTGAGCAAAAAGTGAAATAAAACTGACACATTTACGTATGTGTCAACACGTGATTTGCCTGGGACCATGTAATAATTTCTCATGTACAAACACCAATCATAAAACTGACACTATGTAAGACTCTAATTATCCTGTTCCTTTGAAATAAAAATAAAGAGATAAATTGTTTCAAATATAGGTAATTTAACAATGAAATTTATTAAGCAATCAGTTAACTTCCACTTTGTGCATAAAAATAACTTGTTTTTTATTTTTCTTTTTTTAAGAAAAAATAAAACAGACAGCACTTTTTTTATATAAAAAAAAATTAAGGTAATTTAGAGCAGATAGGTATTTCAACAATGAAATTTCTCAAGCAGTCAATCAACTCCCACTTTTGCATGCCAATAACTTGTGTTTATAGATTTTTCATGACTTTTTAAATGAATTGCATGAGTAGCCGTATGACTCGACAGCAAAGAAGTCACTCACATCATGTAAGAATATGATTTGTATTAATATAATTAGGACTTGTCCCACAGTTAGTAAGCTCATTATAAAACACATAAACTTGTCAATTAACATTTAAACTATAGAACTCTCAATGCAGAAAGGAAGTATAAATTAGCCTCTCAAAAGGATACCCGCTTCTCAAGACATCGGAGCATAGCAACATCTAGTTCCCAAGGAAGATTTGTTGCCGCCAAAACAAAAACAAGCTCATCTGTCTGCGTCAAACCATCCATCTGTAGTCTAACTCTAGCCATTAATTTTTGTGAAGGTAGAGATGAAATCATATATGAATTTTTATGTGATTTACTTGTGCACCAAATGTAGATTTATTGTAGAGACATCATATAGCAAAATCTTTTTAGAAGTACTGGATACCATGGCAAGGAATGTCCACAAGCATGAGCCACACATATGATGTGAAATATAAATTAACATAGGTGTCAGTGTTGAACAATGACCTCAAAATGTGAGGGTAATGATAGTTGGTTCCAACACACTCATACAAGTGTGTTTTCAATGACCAAAAAAAGCTAACATAGGAGTACCTAGAGCACACAGCATATCTGTAATTGCTGTTATTTAGACTCATACAAGTGTGTTTTCAATGTCCAGAGCAAGCTAACATAGGAGTACCTAGAGCGCACAGCATTTCTGTAATTGCTGTTATTCAGATGGGGATAACTAATCAAAAAATAGTATTCCCGTGATATTGCTTTCGATAGAATTGTGTAGATCAGATGAATGCTGTGGAAAGGATTTACTTCTATGGATTACATAAAATGGAATTTCTACAACTAAGTCCATGGTGTCACTCATTTCATGCTACAAGGCCTTTGCCCCAACAATAGCAACAAAATAGACAAAAAAGATCCTTCACACAGAATCTTAAAAGATATAACGTGTGATATCTAGTTAAGGTAATTTCAGTTCAGTGTTGCACCCGTAATGTTTTTAGTGCTTTGTTTTTATATGTCAAAGAGTTGTATTTCAGTTCTACATAAGCATGCTTTTTATATATTATTATTGCAATTCTAAAAAACAGATGTCACCTGTATGAGTAGCCCAGTCTTCAATCGCCTACTTGCTTCATGCTTACTACGTCCTTCACCACGCTGACTAATGGTTGCATCAATTTCATCAAGAAATATAGTTGATGGTGCATGATGCCTCGCAAGATCGAACAACACTTTTATTAACTTCTCTGAATCACCTGTAATCACTTTTTTTGTAAGTTCTTTTCTCAGCAAAGAATGTTAGATCTTATGAATCATCTAATTTGCTTATAAACAATTGTCTTGATACAGGACAGCACTGGGAAATAAAAAATAATTGTTTCATGGTGTGCTTCGACTAAGAAATGTGTGGATATTTTGAGTTCAATAAAATAAAGAAAGGTTTTAGGGGTTTGTAGACAAAAATGGATTGGAATTGGCTCCACTTAGGACCGATAGGGTGCCGGAAGTACAAAAAAAGTGCACAGGAATCTATGGGCAGCAAATATTTTGTGATTTTTATTGCTAAACTAAGGCCAATAGGTAGGAGTTGACTAGGATTCGATGCACTGTTTGAGGCTATGAATAGTAACTGAGGCATCAGCTTTCACTAGTGCACCAAGCAACAGCCTCTTACGAGGAAAGAAATGTATCATAAAATTTAAAACAGTAAAAAGAGGAAATAAAAAACAACCAAAGGTCTGGACAAACACATGAACATTAATACTTGCTACATAGAATATCAAATAGAGTTATGATACAACTGAACCCAACAAGCCTTGTCCGAACTATTGAAGATCAGCTACATGAGTCATAATTTTCCATTATACTCTACCTAATCACAAGTAATCATATCATTTTTTTTTTTTATCCGAACCTATGTTAATTTTGATATTTCCTTTCCCCTATTCTTACCAACAATGCAAGATCACATCAATCTTCCTCCCTTTTACAGTTCTTGATCTCATCTCAATACACATGTCTAAACCATTTTACTCAATTTTTCTCATTTGTCTTCGCTGTTACTACTTTAAACGTTTCACAAATAATCTTTTTTGATTTCAACATTTCTGATCTTGTCGCGTGTCCACATCTTAATATTCGCATTTTCATTTTGTGATCATTTTATAGAATTTACCCTTTTCTTTTTAATATATATGTTGGTCAAGGCATGGTGGCAACTGTTGGCATGTTCCATAAACAAAAAATTGTGAATTATATAAACAAGATTGGTAAAATTATGTTTTAAGGAGTTGCTAATCTTATTATTTGAGATCAGAGTGACGTGTAAAATTGGAGATAGGACTTTCAGAGTGATTCATCAGCTGATTCTTTAATGAATTAGTCATTCACACTAGGTACACGTAAGTGACTTAGAGAAAAAAATATCGAAATGGCTAATAGGTAGTTTAGTGGACCAAAACAAGACGTAGTTGAATTATGTTTTAAAATTGAATTATGTTTGAATGGATTAGTCATTCACACTAGGTATAGGTAAGTGACTTAGAGAACAAAGTATCGGAATGGCTAATAGGTATTTTAGTGGACCAACACAAGACGTAGTTGACCACACAATATGATAGAATTATTTGTAAGTAGTTTTGGCATGTTTTGATCGTAAAGTGTAAACAATGCCTACCCGGCCAATTGAAGAAATGTTCAATTGATCCAAGAATGGTTTGAACTAAGTATCCATGATTCGATATCTTTTGACCCTTGATCTATATCACATTATACCAAGGATTTCTAATTTTTGCTAAAACTGAATTCCTTATGTTCAATTTTAATCCTACTTATTAAATGTCTTGATTTCAAAAATTCAATCCAAACCTCAAGTTCATCACTTGTACCCACTTTAATTTGTCAATTGAAAAATAAAAATTGTCATCTAGCAAAAAACATACATAACGGAACATCAAAAGTACACTCATTGATTTTCTATAAGCCCATTATTTTTAAAATTCACTTGTTTTTCATGTATTCTTAGATGTATAATAAAAAAAGAAACTCATCTAAAAAACAATCTTAAGTGATACATTAGTGAGAAAATTCGTACAAGTTATTAGCCAAAAGCCTTAAGACTAATGGTGTCATCATGTTAAAACTTTTGAAATTGTAGATTTTCATACAAACTCTTACAACACATGCTCAACTAGCAATAAATGAGTGTCCTATTTTGCAACGCTATGCTGCAACTCACTTTTAAGGTTGTTGGAATAATTTTTCAAATAAATTTGGTTCTATTAGTTTTGTTATAAAATTTATTATTTAAGACATCCATAAAAATAAAAAATAAAAAAATAAAAAAGAAACCCAATCAATAATGAAATGGAAAACAAAAAAACCCAAATCTAGTCACAACCAAAGCAAAGCAAATAAAATCGACAATAAACCAGAGAAAAAAATATGCATGTGTTAGCCCTAAAAATTGTTTAAGAAATAGGGATTGAAGAAAACCATTAAAATGTTTGAGAAAGAGGGATTGCAGATTACCTGAAGAATGAAGGTAAGTCCCGATCCTCGGTTCTAGAGAGTAAAGAGAGGGTTGAACAAATAGCTCTGTGTTGGTCAAGGTAGAAATTGGTTGAGATCGCCTAACTTTCCTTTCCCTGTCGAACTAGAACTTCAAGCGGAGATAGAGATAGATAGGAGAGAGAACTTCAAGCGGAGATGGGGTAAATGATCCGGCAGGGTGAACAAAAACCTTCACTAATTAATTCATTGAAAATTTTTGAACCAAAATCAGATATATACTTAGAACATCCAATTTGTAGAATATTTTCCAGAATCAAAGAATGAGAAATAAAATAGAGTATACAAAAAGAAAACTACGTACTTTAATGTTCAAAAACCCAAAAAAGAGATAAAAACTTTAACGAGGTGAGAGAAACAAAGTAGAAAAGGGTTTGCTCTTATAGCTTCATTATTGAAGAGGAATGTCACAATACTGTTTGTTGCAAGCTTTGAAGTGAACTTGATTCTTGGCCAAGTGTGTGGAGAGATGGATACCAGCCTTAGCAGGGGAGAGACTGGCTGGGTGTTGTTGGCAGAGTAAGCAACAAGGTGGGATCCGGCCTCCTCAACAGAAATAATGGAAGAAAGAAGATTAGCGCATTTTGAGAGACTGGCTGGGAAAGAAAGAAGATTAGGGCTTTTTGTGATCTGTGTGTTGGTGACGTGGAAAAAAAGGCGTGCGGGAGACGAAAAGTGAGGGCGGAATTTTTATTTTTTATTTTTATTTTCATATTCACGGGAGGAAAATACTCCCTTAAAAATATATTTATCTACGAGTGACTTTTTCCACCGTAACTGAGGGCGGGATTTTTATTTTTTATTTTTATTTCCATATTCACGGGAGGAAAACACTCCCTTAAAAATATTTATCTACGAGTGGATTTTTCCCCATTAAGTGAGGGCGGGATTTTTATTTTTTATTTTTATTTTCATATTCACGGGAGGAAAATACTCCCTTAAAAATATTTATCTACGAGTGGCTTTTTCCCCGTTAAGTGAGGGCGAGATTTTGATTTTTATTTTCATATTCACGGGAGGAAAATACTCCCTTAAAAATATTTATCTACAAGAGGCTTTTTCCCTGTTAAGTGAGGGCGGGATTTTCATTTTCATATTCACGGGAGGAAAATACTCCCTTAAAAATATATTTAATCTACGAGTGGCTTTTTCCCCGTTAAAGTTGAATCAATCCTTCGTAAATATATGTAAACATTAACGGGCTCTTTAAACTCCCATGAAAACGGTTTTTAACGAGGATTCTATTAACATCTCGTGAAAACATGACCCTTTATGTGTAAAAAGGGGCTTCTACGAGAGAAAATAAAAGATCCCATAAATACTACCTCATAAAAGCCCACTTTTTTTGTAGTGGTAGGAGCACCTGAGGCTCGCGAAGAAGATGTAATGCCCCCCAAGAGACCTAAGGTTTTCCTTATGAATTCTTCAAAGCATAATTTCTTAAAATTTTAGCTTACTTCTATATGCCAAATATATATATGTCTTTTCAAACTCAATTGTATTTCAGATGACCAAGGTAGGGAAAGGAAAAAAATAGGTTACCTCAATCAAGACCAACACTCCTTACTTATTGATCGACGACAAGAAACAAGATCATAACCCCTTGATACCATCGACTTTCTCGGTCGAGACAAATCTCTCTACCAGTCGTGAGGTAACGAGACTTCAATTTTACTTCTAGTATCACTGTACCTTGTTAATTCTAATGGTATCTTTATGGGCAGGTTTCTTCACACTCGGCAAGGTCATTGTCGAGAGATAGGATCAATACTTGTGATGACATTGCGAATACCGAGTACCCTCACACCAGTGGTATCGAGTGTCAACAAGCCATGACTCAATTAAACACTGTCCTCTATTAGTTTGATGGGGCTGAGGTAATATTCAAGATACTCTTTTAATAAATCTCTCGTATATCTTCATCAATGTTAGGCACTCATAAACATTCTTCTCTGGTAGGTTGCCTCGGGCACTCGACCAAGAGTTCCAAGCCTTTACCTTTGGCCACGTGACTCGGCCTTCATCAGTTGGTGTGAGTATTTACGATTTATTCTCTCATTCAAGTCTTGACTTACTTTACTAAATTTTTTTCCTTCACAGGCTGGCTCAAGTTCTCAATTCCAACCGCCCCTCCGAAATTATGGCACGATTGATGATCTTGATGCCTACTTCTCCCAAGTAGGCTGGGTTCAATCTCGATCCCTTGACGAGTAAGCCAGTTATTGTGCCTACGCCTCCTAGTCACTTGCCAGACATCGAAGGAGCAAAAAGATTACTTGTTGTCGTAGTGTCCCGAGACCTCTCTTATATGCCAAGTTTGGTTGTTGATGTGACCGATGCCATGCCTGTGCTAGTAGAACATCATGACTTAAGTCAAGAATAGATAAATCATCTCCAATCTGTCCGAAGCCGATTTTTGACCCTTGTTTCTGATTTTCAGCTTTCCGCGCAGAAGGCTGGTGAGCTATCATCTACGATCAATGGGAAGCTGCAAGAGCAATAATCTCTGACTAAACAGCCGAAGAAAAACATTTCTAACTTTCATACCTTACAATCGGCTCATGTTAAGGGAACCAAAGAACAGCAGAAACTGAACGGGAGATGGATCGTCTCCAGCTGGAACTAACTAAGACTGCTAGATTAAGAGAGGAGCTCAATGCTCAGATGAAGGAAATATATGCTTTTAATTAATACAATGCATAAAGCATGATTTCTCTAAGTTAACATCTTAAAACTCAAAATGGGAAATCAATTAAAGAACAACAAGTTACGATATCATCTAGTTATCAACTTGAAATGAAATGCAAAATCAAACAAAGTGGATACTTGGACACCACGCCGGATCAGATCGACACCATAGTTACTTTAGGGTTACTAGCCTATGGGTAACCTCCCTATGTGCGCACTAGACTGTAGAGGGACAATCCCCCGTACTAGAACCATGTCCTAGCCGTAGTCAAATAACAACATCCCCAAGATTCCAAAATCAACAAGTTGTACAACAACGTATATATCAACAGGAATATACAAGATAATCAACTATCTACCAAGCACAACCAAATTTGGAAACACATACAATACATGCACTAAGTCTACAACTACTATGGCATGACAAATGTCAAATATTCAGTGTGCGATTCGTTACACGTTATGACAATATATTTCAACATTGAAAACATAAACTCATGAATCTAATATAAGTCCAATATTATGATTTAAACATATAACCAATGTCAAACACATGATTAAATCACTAACGCTATAGAAACAAAAAATAATTAAATAAACTAATTAATTTCTCTAACTTTTAAATCTCAATCAAATGACCCCTAATTAACACATGTTAAACAACATTGTATGGTTATTACATACATCCATTCAAAATCTTAATTAAGCCAATGGAACAACAAAGTAGAATTTAATTAAATTATGATAATTAAATCTCTAACTTCTAAAGCAACTTCAAATGGTCCCAAATTAATATATGCTAGTATACATGTCCTAGTCATCACTAATATCAAGTTCAAAACTTAATTAAACCAATGGAACCTTTAAATAGATTTTAATTAATCATTTTAATAAAAAATCTCTAGATTTTCATATTCATCCAAATGCTCCAAAATTAAAGTATATTAAAGAGCATGCCAAGACTTAATTTAATAGCATATCACAAGTTAATTCCATGCAAGGTACGACCATAATAATTAAACTTTCACAAAAGAACATTATTAAATAAAAGTTACAATCTTTATTCAAATAATCCCAATTTAATATATGTTAACAAATATACCAAAACCTAATTTACTAGTATGCCACAATTTAATTCTAAGTTAAATATCATCATGAGAATTAAATCTTAAACATAGAAAATATTTAAATTAAATTCTAGATTATGAACAAAAGCATGCATATAAGTTGTATAAGCATCAATAGCATGCAAGACAACAAAAATAATAACTTTTAACATCCCCTACCTTCATTTGAGATGAAAATCTCAAATCCCTATCGAAAGAAAAGTGCTCCGAATTCGACGATACTCCTAGGTTGTGTCGGGGACAACACGATGAACATTAAACTCCAAAGAGGGCATACTAAAATCCAAACTTGACCTCAAACTCGAACTCAAAAAATGGTAAAAAAATGGATTCTAATAAGGGGGAAAGATGCGCAAAGTCAAGACAAGCATAAAACACGAAGGCACTATGACTTTTTAAGAAAGGGAAGAAGTCCAAAAGAAGAGAGAGAATGTGGCAGCCCCATGTTTGCCATGGAATCTGGCCAAGAAAGGGAGGAAGAAGGTGAAAAAGTGATTTTTCACTTTAAGCCATTTTAGTTATAGTAAAACCCTAAAAGTGCCCCGAAAGGGCCCCGTCGGGTCTAGAAAAGTGGAATTCACGCAAACGCACTCAAATGACGAAACTCCATGAACAAAAAAGAATTGAAATGAGAAAAGATGAACAACAGAAGAAACGACGTTGAAAATCAAGTCCCGAGCAAAGAGATATGCCCCGAACAAGTTCGGCTGAAATTGGGGGAAAACAATCAAAAGGCAATTCTAAGAGTACACGACTCGATGAAAAGTGAAAATGAATACCGTATGAGGATCTAGGCTCAAAACGAGGCATTTTGCAATAACTTTCATTAATTGCACAATAGCCCTTCCAAAAAGTGAAAACTGTACTAATAACCCAGAATGAAAATATCTTCCAAAAATATTTTCTTAAAAATCCCTGAAATAAAATATCTTCAAAAGATATTTATGAAAAACACCCCAAGAAAAGAAAAAGATTCTGAAAATTTATGCATCCATGCCCCTATGGACAACTAGAGTAACCAGAGTACTTTACTCCAAAAGCAAAGATACGTATTTCGTGGAAACCACTTAGAATAAAGATACGTGAAATTAAAAACCAATATTGAACACAAAAAGTGAGGTTATGCCAACAAAGTGACAAACGGGGAAAAGACAAAATAGGGAAAAGGACTAAAAGTGAATAGTGTCAAAAAACAAAAAATACGAAAATGAGTCGGTCCTTAAAGGAAGTTGTCAATCCAAAGGAAAGAGTCTCAGAAACCATTTTCGAGCACTCGAGACTACACTAAGTGACGAGAAACCAAACACAGAATAGAAAAGATAACGAAAAAAAATTTATCTGTAAAATTTGAGGAAGAAGGAAAAGAAAGAAAATGACCGGGTCATTACAACCTACCCATCTTACAAAGATTTCATCTTTGAAATCAGGAACAGACAAAAGAGAACCGAACAAGATCAAACTAAAGGACAAACCATAAGGTGCTAAAGGACAACTCCAAAAGCCTAAAGGTCACCCGAAAGAACGCAAAAACCCAGAACTGTGTGACACTTCCTGAACGAATCAGCATATTAACTCAAAGTCAATCACCGAAAGAATCCCCAAGACAACGACAAGTCAAATCATGACAGATGGCTAAGAATGATATGGCAGTACGAACAATGACCAGAACCCGCCCACACTTACTCTTCAGTAAGGTAACATGACAGTATAAGGCACTAGTTCATAACATGCCCTTAACAGATCAACCTAGAAAGAAACTTTTTGATACAAATGACATCAGTGTCGAAAATGATCATTGCCAAAAACACTATGGGAACCAGGCATCCGCGAGAGTTGATGTAGCAAA